TATAACAAGTTTTACCCATACCCGTACCTGTACTCGGTCAAATTGGGTATTCCCCGTCAAAGTCGGGACGAGTTTGGGTATTACCCACGGGTACGAGTTTATTTGTCATCCCTAAACCTAGGTCAAAATCTAGAATCACAAACTATGGAACATGAATCTTGACATCCAAGTTAGCTAGGAGAGTTTTGACAAATAGTCTAAAGGTAATTAAATTGTAAACAAAAAGTAGACAAACATTTTAATTAAAAATTTCAATAAGAAATGCATCAGTTCAAGATTTCAATCTTTACAATCAAATTTTCACAGTTTCAAAGTATAATTTGAATTCTCTTAATTCTAAATCAACAGAAATGCATTCTAAAACTAAATCTAAATCTAGATTTACTAAATTTCATAGAAACATAAGATGCAATTGCAATCAAGTAATTTTTATAAAATTCAGATCGGTAAATGGTTGATTTAAGATTATCGATTAATTTCATATTTAAATCTAAACCCAATATCTGTTTAATTCTAAATCTAAAATGAAATTCATAATCATGAAAAATAGAATTGGATTTAGAATTAAAAAAATAAGGAGAAAAAGAGAAATTCGTACGGTAGAAATTAATTGAAAACTTGAATTTTATCGTAATTCGTAAAACCTCAAACCGATGAATGAATCAGCAACACATTTCAATCAAAATGCTCCAACAATTCATCTTTAGAGATAGCAAAATTCATGAGAGAGAGAGACATAGAGAATCTGAAAAGTCATAAAAACTAGAAAGAAAATTTAGAGAAACTTCTAAGAAAAGTCATCTCAAATATGAAAAATGAAGTCAAAACTTTTAGTATACATGAGTTACACTTACATATAAACTAAACTAATGAGCGTAGTTTTGTTCCAAATAGGCACAACAATGATAATATCATTATCACCTAGGAGGTGTTCCATTCTATACAGACTAAAAAAGGGTGTGTTGGCTAGATGGCGATTAAGATCGATTAGGAGATGGCTTACAATAGGTTGAAATGGTGTTTTGTGAGAAATACTCTTCAAGACATAGATATCCTTATCTCCTTTTATCAACCTTATTTAAGCTTGTATTTTTATCCCTAAGACGAAAATGGTTGTGGAATGGTGAAGTGCTTGATGAATTCTCTTCTCCATGAGGTATTTGCTAAGGAGATCCCTTATCACCTCATCTCTTAGTGATTTGAATGGAACATATTTTCCATCTTGATGTGGCTGTGGAACACATGCTCTTTGGATTCCAATTCAACTAAGTAGAAATGGACCCAAGTTGTCTATCTTACTTTCATAGATGATTTTGTTCTCTTTGCGGAGGCATCCTTAAATTAAGTGGAGATTATTTAAACCTGCCTGGATCTCTTTTGTAAGAGTTATGGACAAAAAGTGGGCAATGACAACACAAAAATTTCCTTTTTCTAAGAATGTCTCTAAGTAGGTTAATGAAGAAGTCAACAATGCTTTTGATTTTAAGCGATCTAATGAATTAGGTAATTACTTGGGGTTCCTATCATCCATTAGAATAAACATACTTACCAAGGAGTGATGAAGATAGTTAATAAAAGGTTAAGTAGTTGGAAAGCTCACAATCTATCCTTAGTTGGTAGATTGATCTCAACCAAATTAGTTCTTACTGTTGAGCTTAGGGGAGCTGAAGACTTTAAGAGTTTTGATGATCACAACAACTTGGAGACAACAAGTGTACAACAACAACATTGAACACAAAAACAAAGTCAAGGAAGAGTCAAGAAAAATACCTTGAAGTATAGCTATGTAATAGAGCTTAGGAAGCAAATTGTTATGAATGAATTGTTATATTTGTGTCTGTGTGTGCTTTGTGCATTGAGCAAATCTTGTCTAGAATCAAGTAGGGAGTAGATGATGATGAGTTAAACATTGGAAAATTATTTTGAGACTTAAAATGAAGTTTTAAGAACTGACTCAAAATAATCGATTATTGTTAAATATAATCGATTATTTCAGCAAGTGGGCTAAGTGGAATGCCTTGCTGTAATAATCGATTATTTGCCAAAATAATCGATTATTTCAGGAACAACTCTCTGGAATAATCGATTATCCAGCTAAATAATCGATTAAATTGTTCTTGATTGATTTCCAGAAATCTGAAGAACAAAATAATCGATTATTCTTTAAAATAATCGATTATCTGGGTTTGAATTTTTATAAATAGTTTGAACTCTTTTGAAACTTCATAACATTGAGTAAGAACTGATAATCAACTGGTAAAAATGTTTTAGAGAGTCTGTGTGACATCTTGGAGAGTTTTCTTTGTGAAATCCAAGAGAAAAACGTTTGTGAAAAGCTTGTGAGGAAATCATCATCATCATCATACTCTTGAAAGAGGAAGACAAAGATTTGTTCAAGAATTCCAGGTGAATTCGTTTCATTTTATTCTTTGTGAATCTTTGTGAAAAATCTTGAGAAGGGTTTCTCAAGTGGTGAAGTTTCTTGTAGTGGGTTCTACAAGGGTTACTTTCTTGGGGTCAAGAAAGTGGTTATCTTTTTGTAGTGAAGTATATGCATGTGTGTGTGCTTGTAAACCTTCTTGCTAAAAGATAGTGGATCAAATCTTAATCAGGTGGTGATTAAGGACTGGATGTAGGTCACATGTGGAGTGGCTGAACCAGTATAAAAGACTTGTGCAATCTTCTTCAACCTTATCTCTTATTTTGTAATTTCTTGGTTGTGCTTTAAAGAAGATAAAACTTGATTAACATGTGTATGTGAATTTTGATGGTTTAAATCTATAATTGGATATTATATTTGAACCTCATTGTCTTGTAATCAAGTTGCACATTGCATTCATATCATTGTAACAAGTCTTTAAGAGTGCTTCATTTGAAAATTCTGTCATAGAAAAGTTTTGATTGAATTTAAGATCCAAAAACTCTGATAAATTTTTTAAAGGGTTATTGAATCCAATTCACCCCCCTCTTGGATTGGGCCATTCTTTTCTAACACTTACAACACTACCTTCATATTCCAAGCAAACTGCTTAGTTACATCCCTAGCTATGTGATGATCTTGATAAGAAAAGTTGGGGGGGGGGGGCTTTTATGGGGGAGTGATGAGCATAATTGTCATGTGCATGTAATGTTTTGGTTGATTATTTGTACTCCCAAGCCAAATGGGGGGTCTTAGCTTGCAGAGTTTTAGAGTTTTGAATTCTCTATTTTGTATGAAAAATTGTTGGCAACTTTGTAAGCAAGATCAAAGCTATGGGTTCAACTAACCAAATCCAAATATAAGTGTGGAAATGATTTGTTGCCTATGGTTGAACGAAAATAAAGTTCCTCTAATTTTTGGAGAGGCATTTGTAGTGTGTGGGAACCATTTCAAAGAGGTCTAGTTTGGTGCACTACTAAGTTCTGGTTAAATCACTAGATCCCTTCTATTCCCAAGGTTATCTTTAAAACAACTCAATTTGTGCAAATGGAGGAGGTGAACAATCATGTGGCTGATTATGTTAATCAATTTGGAGAAAATTACCATGTGAAAAACATCTCTTTTAAAAAAGTGTTTGAGTTTGTTACATTAAAATTCATATTCTTGAAAGATTCAAGATTGTCTTTTAATCTAACAAAATTACTTTCAAATTGTTAGAAAGTAGAAAAAAATGTATTCAATATAAAAAGAAGACTAATAAAGTGATTTGATTTTTAATGTAATAATTTACAACATCTAAATAATAATAGATTATTAAAAAAAAAATTAATAATATTTTAATATTTTACTTCAATTAAAAAAAATATATAAATGTCTCGATAATAAATATTATATAAGGAAAATAATATGTACCTAAAAAGAAAAAAATCTCATAATCTTCACAATGAATTAATACTAAAAAAATAAAACACTTAAATATTATTATTTTTACTTCTAAACTCTAAATAAAATAATTAATTTAATATAAAAATATGAGAAGGGATCCACCTACTCAAAAAATAAGTCTCAGTAAACTTACTTCACTTAATAGTTCATATCTACTGCAATTTTTAATAATCAAACTATTAAATTAACTATTAAATTAAGTACAATTAAAAGTCACGTTTACAAGGGTATTATGAAAATATTATAAAATAGAATTTTAACTTACTTTAGTATTTTTATAGATAATTCATTGAATAAATAAATTCACTTTGTTTGTTTTGATAAATTTTATAATTAAATTTACGATTTTTTTTCTAGAAGCAAAAAGATGCATGTTAAATAAATACTTAATTAAATTATGACATAAAAGTATTAAAAATATATTTCATTAAACATTACAAATTTTAATTACGCAAAATAATCATTAAGTATTTCTGATGTAATAAAAAATATAATTTTATATTCCTTTTAAGCAATTTAAAACCAGTTGCAGATATTTTAGAAGAAAAAAATGTTAACGACACATTTTTTTCACACACTTTTTGTTTTAATGCACTCTTTCTAAAGAGTTTAAATTTATTAAAAAATATAAAAATTTATGGGTCTCTTACCTTTTTAATAACTCTCTTTATTTTGTAACTTTTAATAAATTATAAAAAAAATTGTATATTAATGGAAGTGTGATAGAAAGAACATTTTCATTGGATAAACAAATATAAATAAATACTTTCAAACTCTCGCCTTTTGAAAATAATTAAATTAAAAGACTAGCTCAATTCTTTATGCAAGAACTAAATTAAAAGAATCTTTTACATTAATTATTTTTTTTAGAAATATAATTTTAATTATGAATTTTTTTTTTACTTCAATAAGTAATTGATGAAATACACTAATTCATTATATATCCATATTTTACTATACATAAATTTAAATTCAAAATCCTATTTAAAAAACCTATAATTCATCATTTTCTTACAGTTATTCAATTTAATAAATTTTAATCCACAATAAAAAAAAATATTAATGAAAGACGTTAAAAATTATGTGACTGCACTACACGGTACTAGTACTAGATGAATTAGTCATAAAAAGTTGTCATAACTCATGCAAAGCCCTTGATAGGAGGGTTAGTTAGAGGGTACTTCAAGTCCAAAGCAACACCACTTCGCCACCAACTCTACTCTTACTTTTTTTTCTTTTTTTTTTCTTTCACTTCTTCCATTAATTAACTCTCTTTATCTCAGCATTGAGTCAATTCTGTAAGTGAAACGCCATGACCTCGCCGCAGGAAACGCCAAACGATGAATCCCAATCAGATCCCCAATTGAATTCCCCGGCCCTCACCGTGCTCCCAAATGCACCCGATTGCCGCCCCCTCACCCTGTGCCTGCGAAACGACGCCGTCGACATGCGCCTGCCGCATGCGGAGCCTCTCCGCCGCTCTCCCAGGCTCAGCTCAGCTCCGGCCGCCGCGGGAAGCGCCAATGCGGGTTCCGGAAAGGGAAAGCGGAAGCGGAAGCTGTCGCCGGAGGAACGGCAATCTCTGAGAAGCTCCTCGCGATTCTCGACACCTCAACTCGTTGAGGTGCGTGTCACTCACTGTCCTTTTGCTTTGCATGTTGATTTTTTTTTTCTTTTGTTTTTTTTTTTTCACCTAAAATGTGTTTTAGTTTTCGGTTTTTTTGATATTGAAAAACGATGGCTTTGATTCTCATGCTTGTGAGGGACGAATTTTGTTAATTATAAAAAAAATGAGGACGAAATAATTATAATTTTAGCTTATGCACAAAAAAAATATTTCAATTTTAGCTGAAAATTAAGAAATCCTGGAACATTTTTTTGTTTTTTTTTTATATTTATTTTTTCGAGTGTTGCAGGGATTGTTGCATGCATTATTTTAGTTTAACCTGTTACGGGGCTACCTTGTCTATATGTAATGTGAGAAATGCATATATTTTTCCTTTTGCTAATTTTGGGGTCTGGATTGCCGTTAATAATGCTTTATTTTGTCAGAAATGCAAGTTCGCTTTTATGATTTGGCCGAAAAATGAAATAATGTGTTTCAGCGTCTGTAGCATAGATACCTAAAAGGGTTAAATCTATTTGCTGGCTACTGGCTATATCAGTTTTTCCCTTTTTGTTCTGTTTTTACAAAAGTTAGGGTAGGAACAAAACTAGAAACTTTTTATTCGGGAAGAAATATATTTCAATATATCTAAAAATTCAAATTTTTTTTTAAGTAATTAAAAATTAGAAAGCAGTATGACAAGAGTTCTTTTTTTTTTTTTTTGCTATGTTTTGAGAGGAAGTCATTGGACTCTAGGAGATTGAAAATATATTTTTTAATGTTAATTATTTAATGGAAAGAGGTCTGAATAAAAAAAAAATACCCTTTTAAAACTGTTTTAAGAAAGTGTACTAGTATTTAAAAAATATAACCGGCGAATCATTTTTTTTTTTGTTTTTGTAACCTGCTAATCATATAATATTATCTAACTTATTATGCATGATATACGAAAATGTAAATATATCGGACATTCATGCATGTACAATTTAATAATCGACACTTATTTATATTTTAAAAAATATATTATACATTAGGATAAAACATTATGAGCAAATCTCAGGTAGTTTCTATTTTTTTTTGAAAATTTATGTTCTTTATCTGGTTGATGTCATTTTTCAATCCAACTGTTATATTGAATAAATTTAACAGATGCAGTATGTCAACGTTTAATTTTGTCTCGGGTTGTTGATCAATGAGTACCAATTAAGGTGTGACTTCTTTATGATTTTGTTGAATGGTCCTTTTTCAATAGCATATTTACTATATTTATTTTTGAACCGCGTCATAATACTTTATTATTATTTTCAAATTACTTTTGATTCTCTCGGTCTTGTTACTTTAGTTCCCATGTCCTCAAGCCCAATTGCTTCTCTGTTAATCATCCTCATTTTTTGTCTATGTATCTTTTTTTTTTTTCTAGTATAATATTTAACAACACGTTGACACAAGAGTGACATCAACGCATTCTAATGTGAAATGTGAATTTTGGATGGGAAATGCATTCAGGAAAAGAGCTCACCACGGAAGAGGTTGATGTCCCATGCAAAGGACGACCTTGGAGTTGGATTAAGCAATGGTTTCAATATTCATTCAGATGCCAAGCCTGGAATGGTGAGAAGTTCTCACGGGAAGTTCTTTGATGAGAAGCGATTGAGGCAGTCCCCAAGATTAAATCCATCAAGTGAGGTATATGTAGAAAAGATTGATGTGAAACGGTATGGTGCATTGGAGCTTAGGAGATCTCCAAGACTTTCATCTTCAAGTGGGAATGAAAACATGGAAATTAATGTTCTTCAGGGGAAAATAACATCAAAAGGAGTTCACCAAAAGAAGAAAAATACAAAAGTGATTTCTACTTCCATTAAATTGTCTAATTCACCAGATGAGCAGCATTTTGAGGTTGAAACCATCTCAAGAAGCTCTACTCCCGGAATTGATGATACAAAACACTTGAGATGGTCTTCAGAAGCAATCACATCCACATCCTGGGATGAAAATGGCAGAACAACTTCTAATTCCTTTGCCTTGCCTGAGTTAGATGACAACCCACCAAAAAAGAAATATAAAATGTCTACTTCTTCAACTAAGATAAGTATGGATTCAGAAAGAATTCCTTCCTTCATTGGTGATCCAATACCTGATGATGAAGCTCAGAAAAGATGGGGATGGCGTTATGAATTAAAGGTTGTGGACCTGATTCTTTCAGTATACTTTTCATGCTATAAGAATTTCAGTATGCTTTTCATGTCTGTATTATTCTTTTTTACTTTCGAAAAAATGAAAAGTGTCCTGCTAGTTTCTATTTAATCCAAACACATTGTATTCTTCTATATGTTTTTATCTGATTTTTCTTCTGAAGCTTGCAGGACAAAAAATGTAAAGACCAAATTTTCAAAATAAAGTAAGTATTAACCAATTCATAAATTCATTTAGTGTATTCTAGCACTCTTTCTCAGTTGATACATTTTTAATTTCTTCCCCATATATTTCTTTTTGATGTTGTTGATTTTATAGCGAGGGTGAAGAAGATGAGATTATTGCAAATGTCGAATGCCATTATGCACAGGCTGAAATTGGGAATTGCATTTTTAGTCTTGGCGATTGTGCATTAATAAAAGTAAGTTCTTAGTTTAAAATGCTACTGCTTAATATGATAAAAAGAAAAAAAGGAGAGTAGCCCCTTGTAAAGATATTTTAGAATGTTGATTCATTATGGCTTCCTCTATTCATTTTCTCCCAATGAAATACTCTCTTGCTTTTAATTTGTATTTTATGGAAGTGTTAATCATTAATTCATTATGAATCTTTTGGTTATTGGTTTTACTTAATATTTTGATCTTTATATTCCCCCTTGGAAAAGAAAGCTCCTCCCCTAGTGTAGATTCATATGTACAAGATATTTTCCATGAAAATTCCTAGAAATTTTTGGATGTTACTGATGTTGAGTTTCCACGCATTAAATAGAAGATTTTAAAATTTGATATTGAGACCATCATCATCATAACTGCTTGTATATGTTCAAATTCATCAACCTTATTAGCAAAGGTGCAGTGAGTGTCCTTTTAATATGCATGTGAATACATCCTTTTACTTAGTCTTTCTGCTGTCTATTGTAGAGCTGGTGGGGGTAACATGTGGATGTCTGACATCTGTGAACTTCAAAATCTCATGTGAACATAATGAGAGCAATTTATACTTACACCTTGAGTAATTCTTACAGGGGGAAGGAGAACAAAATCATGTTGGCAAGATTATTGAATTTTTCCAAACAACTCATGGTCAAAAATATATCCGAGTCCAATGGTTTTACAGAATTCAAGATACAGTGAGTATTGAGCATGTCATGATATTTATTTAGTCTTGTGAAAGGATATGTTGTGACTGTTTCTTCCATTTGATTTTCAGGTTGTCCAAGACGAAGGTGGTTTTCATGACAAGAGGCGTTTATTCTATTCTTCAATAATGAATGATAACTTAATAGATTGTATAATAGGAAAAGCTAATGTCACTCAAATAACACCTAGGGTATGACAAATCTTTGTTAGGGTGTTTCTTAATTGGTTTCTTCACAATTGCATCAGATGCTTCATTCATTTCTTTTGTCATTTTTGAGGTTTAAACATCAGTCTTTGTATATACTACCAAATTTTTTGTGCAATTTGTTGCAGGTTGGTTTGAAGTTGGCTTCAATTTCACCATCTGACTTTTATTATGATATGGAATATTGCGTGGATTACTCTTCATTCCGCAACATACCAACAGGTATGTGATCAAGGAGCCCAAGATGCTTATGGTCATCGGTTTCTGTATCTTTTTATTATTTTCTTGTTTGATCTATCACTGGAGAAGGAAAAAGAAATAGGAGGCTGGGGAACCTTAAAACTTGTACAAAAATTTGCTTTTAGTAGTTGGTGATAACTTTTGTATACAACTTTGCATACTTCTGACATCTATTATCTTTCCATGCATAGTATCTATATATCCCCTTGTTGACATTTTGATGTTCTAGAAATAGGAGAGAATAAAGAGAAAAGATAATTTTAATTTTACTTGTATACTATGATGATTTACAATAAGATGTAAAGTGTTAATAAAGCCTAAAATACTCTTCCTTATTTATACCAATAGTCTTCATAAGGAAATAAAGCACAAAGTATTAGAAAACATGGCAAGTGGGAAATAATCCTAAGAGATGATTTCTAGGATACTCTAAAGTCTAAATTATTCTATGATATAGTCATGCTCTAGCGAGATATTGGTGAGTGGATTGGGTTTCACAAATTTGACCAATTATTTGTCCACAACAGTCAATGTTAAAGGCCTGCAATGAAGGCTTGGTTCTCACATGATCGCAATGAATGTTGATAGTGTTAACTTAATAGCGATATGATAGAGCACCGATTAATAAAAGACAATATTGAACACTAAAATCACAAGCAATACAACAATACACTTGCTGTCCTTGAGAAAAAGTCTCCAACTACACAAACACAGCAGCACACTTGTCCCATAGACAAAAGTAACCTACAGAGTCCATTAACTGAAAATTACTTCACACTCTTAATTACACCTTTTACTATCAGATATATTTCTAATACATAACTCGCTCTGCTGTCCTGCAGTTTCTGATGCAAAACTAACTACTAGCGTCTAGCAGTGATTTTTAAACATAACTGTCATCTTGGAATTTCTAATACAGATCTGATTTCTAAAGCAGTTATTTTATACGCATAACTTCCCCTAATTCTCAGTTCCTATTCCTATCAAAATATTTCAAATACTTCTCATCTTAGTTTCATATGTTCTTATGTGATCAACATTAGCCGTGTTGAACTGTTCCAACAAATTTATTCAAATATATGTTGTGTTTTTTTTTAAGATTATATCTAAAAAGTGTCAATTTATTGCCTTAGATAATCCTGTCAAGACTAATGAGTTATCCCCAGCCACTGTTCTAGAGAGACTCTCAACAGATGCCTCTGCAATAACGGAGACTCTACCCCGTTCTGAGTTTAACAAGACAGAATTAACATTATTAGATCTCTTTTCTGGGTGTGGTGGCATGTCAACTGGACTGTGCTTAGGTGCTAAAGCTTCATCAGTTAACCTTGTCACGGTACTATAAATGAATTCCTTCTCTCTAATGAAATTCTTCCTATTTAAGAATTATATTAAATATCTGCTCTGATACATTGATCTTGCTTTGGTTGCTGTTTTTCTCAGAAATGGGCTGTTGATAGTGACAAGTCTGCTAGTGAAAGCTTGAAACTAAACCATCCAGGCACGCATGTGAGTGCTGACAATCTTCTGCTACAACAAAGATATTTGATAGTAACTTTTCACAGCTGAGATAATATATTCATTCATTGAATAGGTGCGAAATGAATCTGCTGAGGACTTTCTGGAACTATTGAAGGAGTGGGAAAAGCTATGCAAACGGTATAATGCCACTGATGCAGAAAGAACATTTCCAATTCGATCCAATTGTTCAGGAGCAAAGAAACAATTGAGTTCAGAAGTTCATGGCACTGCCGCTGGCACATTTGAAGTTTCTAAGTTTGTTGATATTTGCTTTGGTGATCCCAATGAAACTGGGAAACGTGGTCTATATTTGAAGGTAATAAATCCCATGTCAACTTTTGGGTATTCATTTGTCTCATTAAAACCTTATTGTTCATGAAATAATTTTGTACACATATTTGCTTACTTGCTGTTGGATAGAGTGATGGTCATGTGACCCTCGAATGAGTAGCACTTGCAATTTTGTCAAATTCAATTGTATTAGTTAATTGCGTAATTCTCTAATTAAGAGAGATGATTGTTGTGAAAAGGCATGCAAGTGTAAAAGCTTGTCTCATGCCTCCATGGGTAGAAGAAAAAAGAAAGAAAAGTTGAGTGATGGGGTTGTAAATTCATTTTAATGAAAAAATAGGTATGCAAACATTTACTGTACATTTAAATGCTTTGACTGTCCATGGATTGTGTGTTTAAGTGAGCCAAGGTGTTCCTGCATTATATGATAGGCAATCAGATTGAACATAGATTTTACACGATTAGTTTTGATAAGAATCTTAGGAGAACCATGCCAGAAAAGCTAGTGGTTGTATCTCCTATACTAGAATCTCATGTTTCCAATGTGGGACTTAAGTTTCATACCTTGCAATTGGATCCTCACATAGTTCAAGCTTGAACTTTTTAAATATTAAGTCATATCATTGTAATATCTTTTGCATAAATTGATTTCTTAACTTGTATACACATGTACACGTTATAAACTTAATATATTTTAAATGAGTTTTCTGAAATTAGTGTTAGTCAAAGTTGTTGTTATTTTATAAGTATTAGTGAGAGTTAAAGCATGGGTTTTCATTACCTTCAGTTTTCTGTTAACAGAATAGAATAAAATGGTTGGCCTCCCATAAAATCAGCCTTTTTTTCTTACAAAGCTCGGATCCTTTTCTTTTGGGGGTTTTAGGATTCCACTAGCTGTCAGAGATCTTTAATTTTAGTACTACTAACTTTACAACATCAGCCCCTGTTAACATGGAAAATTTTTTCCTTTACTATTTATTTTTTTACCCATATTTTACCCTATTGAATCTCTAATAATGTTTTGGTTCATAAATTGGCGATGATTAAATTCTCATGGTTGTTTCATAGGTGCATTGGAAGGGTTGCAGTGCAAGTAAAAACACATGGGAACCAATTAAAAGCTTAAGGTATATATTTCTTGATTCTCTTTGATGTGATTGATGATATTAAATGTTCTCAGACATCAGTACTTATTTATTTATATTTGTAGTAAGTGTAAGGAAAGCATACGGGATTTTGTGAGGAAAGGGATGAAATCAAAAATCTTGCCTCTTCCTGTAAGTAGTATTATTTACTATTTAAAGTGTAGATGTGGTAAAATCTCGATAAATTTTGCATTTTGAAAGGAACTGTTGCTTAAATTATTTCAGGGTGAAGTTGATGTTATTTGTGGGGGTCCTCCTTGTCAAGGAATTAGTGGATATAATCGCTATAGAAACTCTGAATCACCATTGGATGATGAAAGGAATCGACAGATTGTGATTTTCATGGACATGGTGAAATTTTTGAAGCCTAGGTATGTGTTAATGGAGAATGTGGTTGACATATTGAGATTTGACCAGGGTTCACTTGGAAGATATGCATTAAGTCGTTTGGTACATATGAACTACCAAGCAAGACTGGGAATCATTGCGGCTGGATGTTATGGTCTTCCACAATTTCGATTGCGTGTTTTCTTGTGGGGTGCTCATCCTAGTGAGGTTAGTTTTAGAAATTGGTGTTAGGTAATAAAGTTGATAGATGTACAACTTAATACAAACATCTGTCTCGTAATCTCTTTGAAAGATTGTGCCCTTTTTAATCCACCCAAATTTACGAGAAAGCTTATGTCTCTATCCATCAATGGTTTTGTTAAGAGAGAGGGAGACAAATGAGTAAACCGTAACTGAATACACTGCAATGTGTAGCAGCCCTCATGTTCATATTACTAAGCTAAGTATATACAAGCATATGAGCCAAGCCCGTATACATACTAAAACCCTTTATTCTTAACAATAATTCTTAACACTTCTCCTCAAGTTGAAGCATAGATGTTATTCATGCTCAACTTGTAACAAATAAAATCACTACACATCCCATTCAATGCTTTTGGAAAAACATCTGCTAGTTGGTTGTCTATCTTAACATAAGTAGATATAAGATTGTCTTGGATCTTTTCTCGGATAAAGTAACAATCTACCTCAATATGCTTTGTTACTTCATGAAAAACTAGGTTTGATGTGATATATATGGAAGCTTGGTAAATCCCATCTCTAAAATCTATCTCGCCCATATTAACTCATAAGTTGTTTTAGCCATAGCTTTCTACACAGGATCTCACCACCAAATTATGCTTCTTACTTTTCCATGAGATCAAATTACCTCCCATATATACATAGTAGCCTATGGTAAATTTGCAGTCCATAAGAGACCATACCTAATTTGCATTAGAGAAAGCCTCCACCTTCATATGTCCATGATCTTGATAAACAATCCCTTTTCTTGTAGCTTTCTTCAAATAGTTAACAATGTGGATTGGTACTTCCAACCGAGTGTTAGTATAAGAAGACATGAATTGACTTACAACATTTATTAGAAAGGAAATACAAGGTCAAGTGATAGTGAGCTCTTCTCAGAGTCCTAGTATATTGTACACCGATTTTCATTCGGTTAATTTTCTGTTAGTTGGGGTTAGTTGTGGGTTGCTGTGCAGTTTCAATTGAATATTGTATTTTCCTCTACCATGGTCTTCCAACTTCACAAACCCTTCTATGTACTTAAACAGATCCCTCATGCTTGGTTTGGCAAATTTCACACTATGGTACAACAATTTGGACGGACTCCTAAAGAAGTCGACCATTGCGTCTTCTACCGCCAATTGCCATTGCCCTCAAGTGTACATCTACCTCATTATAGATGTGGAATTGTGGATGACATTATTATAATATTAATCTCAAACGATACCTCTCGAGACAATTTCAAATCAAGGACCATGGGAAGGTTCGGTATTTCTTAGGTATTGAGGTGGCCTAATCCAAAGACAGACCGGTAATTTCTCAAAGGAAGCATGCTCTAGACATGTTAAAAACCCAGAACCATATACTGAATAACAAGGCAAAACAAAAGTATATGAGTAACTGTTGTATTATTTTTGCTGAATAACAAGAAAAGTTACAGTGGAATGGATATTCCACTACCACAGAGTTGAGCTCCTACAGTGGGATAATGCTCTCTGTCCATAACTAATTTCTTGAATCGTTCCCAAAAGTGTCATCCCCCCTTACTCTACCAATACAATAGAAAACTCCCCCACCCAAATTGTTCCACTCCTCTCTCTGCCACGTCAACATTCTCCCCTTTGCCTCTTTTGTTTCTCGTGACATACACTCTCCACACTTTAGGCTTGGTCAATTGATGTGCTAATGGCCCATCAAGGCCCAAATGACAATCTAAGGTCCTATAATTGCTCCCCTCTAGAAAATTAGACTTGTCCTCTAGTCTGAAATTAGGAAACTAACTCCAAATGTTGAATTCCTCATCTCATATGGCCTCCTCTACAGCCTTGTCCTTCCATTGTATTAGCAACCGATGGATAGAATCTCCTCCTTTAGTCACTGTTCTAGTAACGAGGACATCAATAGGTTCATATTAATGTGCAGAGTCCCCTTCCATTCCTTGAGGAAGTTCCTTCTCCACCCAATAGTCTCCAATGGCTTTCTTCAACAATGACACCTGAAATACAAGATGAATTCGAGATGAATCAGGCAATTTAAGTCTCTAAGCCACAACCCCAACCTTTTCGATGACTTGAAATGGACCATAGTATCTAGGAGCCAGCTTTGAACAGATTTGTTCTCTTATTGTTTGTTATCCATGAGGTCTTGACTTCAAGAAGATCCAGTCTCCATTTGCAAAATTTTGTTCCTGCTGCTTATGATCAACCTGAACCTTCATCCTATTTTGAGCCCTTTGCAAATGGTATTTGAGTTGTCGCAATGCCTCATCTCTATCCAAGAGTTCCCTTTGGACTGCTTCCACTTTGGTCTCCCCTTGTAAAAAATGAATGATGACAGGGGGTGCTCCCCCATAGATGGTCTCAAAGGGTGTGGTCTCGATGGATGCATGTACAGTAGTATTGTACTAGTACTCAACCCATGATAACCATTGCACCCAAGTCTTAGGTTGGTCTGCAATAAAACATCGTAGGAATGTCTCTAAACAATGATTAATTACCTCAGTTTGTCCATCCATTTGAGGATGGTATGCTATGCTCATCTGTGAATGAGTGCCCTGCAATTTGAATATCTCCCAAAAGTTACTACAAAAATTGGATCTCAATCACTTTTAATAGATGTTGGAATACCATGTAGCCTCACCACTTCCTTGATGAAAATTTTAGCCACTGTTCAAGCAATGTATGGGTGTTTCAAAGGAATGAAGTGACTATATTTAAAAAGCCTGTCAACAACCACCAAAATCGCTTCATACCCTTTGGATCTAGGTAAACCAGTTAAGAAGCCCATGGAAATTTCTTCCCATATTTTTTCAAGAATATTCAGCAATTGTAATAAGCCCCCAAGAGCTATAGCCAAATATTTTTGTCTCTGGAAAACATCACACTCCATCACCACTGTTGAATGCTTTTCTTCATGCCTATCCAATACAAATTAGCTACCACACAATGATAGGTTCTGTAAAACCCCAAATGTCCTCCTTGTGATGTGAAGTGGAACTCCTAAAGTAGAACAGGGATCCATGGAGACTTACTGGAGATGATCAACCTCCCATCATACAACAAAACCCCATTTTGATAAGAGAATCCCTACTTCGTCTCCTTGCCCTACTAAAAGTCCTTGATCATATATTTGAGTATCTCATCTTCATGCACCCCTTCTATCACCTTCCTTCCCTTAATCCAATTGGTATGATGTATCAAAGAATTGAATTCCCCCTCTCCATACATTCGTGACAATGCATCAGTACCCTTGTTCTCTAAGCTTGGCTTGTAAACAATGTCAAATGTATATCCTAACAATTTGGTTGCCCAATTTTTATTGATCCCCGGTTGTTACCCTTTGTAGCAACAATTGACGTAAGCTCTTTCAATCAATGTTTTGACCTAGTAAATAGGGTCTCAATGTTGGATAGCTAAAGCCACAACCATCAACTCTTTCTCATAAGCTAACTTGGATAGATTCCTATCTCCCAAAGCTTTACTAAAATAAGCTATTGGTTTGCCATTGTGTTAGGATGGCACCTAAACCTTGACCAAAGGCATCACTTTCAATGGTGAACTCTTGAGTAAAATAAGGTAATGCTAACATTGGGGTTGAGGTAATCTTTTGCTTGCGTAACTCAAATGTCTCTTGTGCAGCTTAAGTCCATTGAAACCCATCCTTCTTTGTGAGCTCGATTAGGGGCTTAGCTAGTTTTCCATAATCTTGAATAAATTTTTGGTAATAGTCCGTTAAACCCAAAAAACCTCTCACCCCTTTTACGTTCTTGGGTATAGGCCATTGAAGCACACTTCTAATTTTACTAGGGTCCATGGCTACCCCCTCTTTTGAGATAACATGTCTCAAATACTCAAAAGCAGTTTGGGCGAAATGACATTTTTTTTTATTTACTACTAGTTGTGTTTGTAACAACTCCAAAACATTGTGCAAGTGTTGCTTGTGGGTGTCTCAGTCAAGATTATAGACCAAGATATCATCAAAGAAAAATAACACATACCTTCTTAGCATGACTTTAAAAATTTCATTCATGAGAGATTGGAAAGTGGAAGGTGCATTCATCATGTTAGATATAGTTTTATCTCATGGGCCTAGGCCCACTACTTTGTATATAAACATATCTTTTGTTTTGCAATACACAAGAAATATGTTCTTTCCATTTACCATTTCTCTCAACACATCAATTCGAATCGCATTACCAAATATTCATAATGTCCTTCACGAGTTCTAAATGTTGTTTTATGTATATCTTCAACCCAGACCCACACTAGATGACGACCCAATTTGAGGTCTAATTTAGAGAAAAATTGAGCAGCATGTAGTTAATCAGTAGCTCCTTGACTTGTCTTTCAATTTCATTTTTATGGTGATGTGCGTAATGACTGGGTCTCACATTCACAGGTCCCTGTCCTTCAAATAAGGTAATGGTATGTTCCTTTTCCCTTTTTGGAGGCAAACTTTTGGGTTCCTTGAAAACATTCGAATATTTCTTGATCAACTCCAATAATTCCTCCATCCCTTTTGTTCCATTCTCATTCTCCAATGGAATTGAAAGGTGCACCTCACTTGACTTGTCTTTCAATTTCATTTTTATGGTGATGTGCGTAATGACTGGGTCTCACATTCACAGGTCCCTGTCCTTCAAATAAGGTAATGGTATGTTCCTTTTCCCTTTTTGGAGGCAAACTTTTGGGTTCCTTGAAAACATTCGAATATTTCTTGATCAACTCCAATAATTCCTCCATCCCTTTTGTTCCATTCTCATTCTCCAATGGAATTGAAAGGTGCACCTCACTTGACTTGTCTTTCAATTTCATTTTTATGGTGATGTGCGTAATGACTGGGTCTCACATTCACAGGTCCCTGTCCTTCAAATAAGGTAATGGTATGTTCCTTTTCCCTTTTTGGAGGCAAACTTTTGGGTTCCTTGAAAACATTCGAATATTTCTTGATCAACTCCAATAATTCCTCCATCCCTTTTGTTCCATTCTCATTCTCCAATGGAATTGAAAGGTGCACCTCACTGATTCCCCAACAAATGCCTACAAAGCTAAAATGGCTTGCATAACCATTAGGTTCTCCTTTAAGCTCCACCCATTGTTTGTTGAATTGAAACTATATGCACTGCTTACCCCAATCTATCCACATTCCTCCTAAGGATGCCAACTAAGAAATACCCAAAATCACATCAATTTCCTCTAAGTCAAAGAGAAATGTATCTACAACTACCACAATTTTCCCTACTTCCAACTCAACATTCTTATAAACTCCTTGCACCAAGGCTTTGTATCCATCCCCTAACTTAATTCTCATTGCTTTAGTGTTTTTTGACTGGCCAATCCATTGCTGCCACTAGTTTTTTAGAGATGAAGTTGTGGGTTGCCCCACTGTCAACTAGCATAAGAATAGGGTAACCATTTAATTGTCCCACGGATCTTCATAGTTTGTGGTTTCCACCCCTTATCAGTGCATAAGTTGCCTAAATTCATCATGCTACACTCACCCTTCTCCTCTCCGTCATCTTATTCTTTTATAGCAATGACATTAGCTTCACCTTTTTCTTCTTCCACATCATCTAACACCATAATCCTCAATTGGCGATCGGGACATTGGTGGTAGTGGTGTGTAAAAAATCCAAACCGATTCATAATCAATTTGATCCGCATTGAAAAATTTGACCCATTTTGAAAAAAAAAATCCGAACCATTCTACTTTACAAAAATAGTTCAATTATCTGATCCATTTTTACAAAGTGGATTGGTTCAGTTCGGTTCAATTTTTTTAAAAAATCAATCGATATGAGTAAAAAATGGATAACCGCATCACACTGAACTGATCCAATTTCAAACAAATCGATCGATATTTTAAAAAAAATCAAATCAATCTACTCTATAAAAAATGGATCAGTTAATTGATCCGTTTTTATAAAATGGATTGGTTCAATTTGGTTTGGATTTTTCAAAAATCTAATCCATGAACACCCCTAATTGGTGGAGAGGATGTAACGGTCCGCCACACTTATAACAAAATCCTTTTTGTTTTCTCTCCACTAATTCCTGGCAAGACAAATGCCTTAAATCTCTATCCTGATGTCCTTGCCTCTGCCATTCATGCACCTAGTCTTGTTTGGAGACAACTCTATTATGTCCTCAGTGGTTAACCTCCTTACCCCTTCAGACATAGACCCACTAGTTACTATTATTGCGTCCCACACTATGGGTTTGTATCAAGCTATGTGGAGTGGAACGGTAGTGGGAATTGTGGTTGAAATTAGTCTTTCCTCTTCAACTTTGTGATGTCGTCCAACCCAATTTCTCTTTCAACTCACACTCAATTGCTCTTTGCCAAATTGATCAAATGTGATCATGGCAGAGGCCCTATTGCACGCATGCTCTGAACTCTCTCGAATTCCTTCCTTCAATCCATGGATGAAATATCCAAAATATTGGTCATTGAGTAAGCGACTAACCTGACAAATAACCTCTCAACCTCTTGTACATATTCATCTACACTCCTCACTTCTTGTAATGCCGCAAGTTGCTCGAAAATATCCCCCTTGTCAATTTCGCCATAGTGTTCTAACAACTCGTGTTTCAATTGCTCCCATGTCAACTCTGTCTCTTCATTTAGTGATTCGAAGAAATGGATTGTTGAACCCTTCATACAAAGTTGTGCTAAGCTCACCGACTTGTTTCTCGTACATGAAAATAGACTTCGGCGTGCAATCCATCTCGTTGAGTCTTCTTCGGTGAACAATGGCAATTTCACCTTCTTTGTTGATTGACAAAATTCATCCAATGTCTCTCCTTGTAAATTCTTCACACTCGACAACCTAATTTGACAGGATTCAATGCTTTACGTGATCATACTTGTAAGTTTTTCTTAATTATCACCCTCCATGTTCTTTGTAATTAATGCAATCAACTTCTCCTAATTTTCATCTACCTTCGCTTGCATTGCTACAAGTGTTGTTTTGCTGTTTGTCACCTTGTTCTCCAGAGTATCTACTTTGGCCTCCATCTTCTTCGGTAGCATTTATACCCTAGATCATTGGTCCTTTCACCTTTTTTTTAAACTGTAGAGCCCTGCGTTATACAGCAAGTTGAACCAATTGTTACAAACCTAGAACCATATAGAGAATAACAAAGCAAAACAGAAGTATAATAATGAACACTAAAAAGAAAAGAGAATGTCACTGTTGTGTTATTTCTGTTGAATAACAAGAAAAGGTTATATTCAAATGGATATTCCACTATTGAGCTGAGCTCCTACAAAGGGCTAATGCTCTTTCTCCACACTTTAGGACTGATGTGCTAATGGCCCATCAAGGCTCAAATGACTATCTAAGCTCCTATCAAGACATCTTTGAAGAAACTAGCTTACTAAATGTAATGCCTATGGTGGACACTCCTATGGACCCCAATGTCAAACTAGTGCCAACTTAGGGGGAGCCCTTATTTGATGGAAGATACTAAAGATTAGTGGAAAAATTAAATTATTTTACAATCAACAGACTAGTTATTGCTTTTTCTATCAATGTAGTAAGCCAATTCTTGAACTCCCTATGTTAAGAACATTTTGGAACGTTGTTATTAGAATGCTTATATACATTATACGAGGCTAGTAAAGGCATGTTACATGAAGACAGGGGTCACACTCAAATAGTTGACTACTCAGATGCTGACTAGGCAGGCTCACCCAATGACAGGGGATCCATCTTAGGCTATTGTTTTCTGGTTGGAGGGAACTTGATATCCTGGAAAAGCAAGAAGTAGACAATTGTAGCAAGATCAAGTGCTGGAGCAAAAAATAGAGCCATGACTTTAGTTACTTGTGAGCTCATTTTGTTAAAACAACTCCTACAAGAACTTTGAGTTGAAGAAGAGATTCAAACAACCCTGATATGTGATAATCAAGCCACATTGCACATTGCACATTGCATCCAGTCCAATCTTTCATGAAAGGACCAAGAACATTGAGGTAGACTGTCAGTTCGTCATAGAAAAAATTGAGTCATGATAAACCATCATTAAGTTCATCAACTCTAACGAAAATTCTAGGATGAAGTACCAAGATAGGTGGTATATCCATGAATCATCTGTTTTAACCGTTTGATATAATATTAAACAATTTAACGGTTGTGATTTCTTACTTACAACTTATTTAGCAGGTTTCTTTCCTTCTTTTTTTTTAACTCCTCCTCTATATGCTTTAACGGAGCTAATCATTGTTGAATATTTTCTGACCACCATCCCCGTCTCTCTTTCACGATAAACAACATCATCAACCACTAGTAGATTTCTTTTTCTGGTTACAAAACCACCACCAGATTAAAACAACATTATCAGAAGCAAATTGTTAAAAAAATTAATTTTTATTCAAAATCAAATCTTTATGATTTCAAAGGTTGATTAAAAAAATAAAAACTGAGAAAAAAAAAAATAGTCACCCAACATCCAATTGGCTACATATTCAAGATCGAGAAGGAAGCTTCCAAGTACGGCATCTGCAAAATCATCCCTCCCTTCCCACAAGAAAACCGCCATCGCCAACCTCAACCACTCGTTCGCCGTCGTCGCCAGCTCCACATTCACCATGTGCCAACAACAGATCGGCTTCTGCCCCCGCCGTCCGCACCCCGTCCAGCATCCAGTCTGGCTCGGGCTCAGCCTTGGGCTCAGGCCTCAGCCCGCTCGAGACGGAAACGCTCTTCTAGAAGGTCACGCTGGACAAACCCTTCTCCGTGGAGTACGCCTACGACATGCCAGATTTTGTTTTTTTAATAATTTAAATTTAAATTTCTAGTTATAAACTAAAAAATTATTTTCCCGGTTAAAAACAGCCTTTCAGCGGTAAATTTCCTATCTCATGGATGAGGTACACAACAAACTACTTCATCCTAGAAGGATTCCAACTCTAATGATCAACTAGCAAAAGCCTTTACTAAGTCACTCAGGGGCCCAAGAATTGACTATATTTGTAATAAGCTAGGTGCATATGATCTATATGCTCCAACTTGAAGGGAGTGTTGAAAATAAGATATTAAGGAAATATATAATAGTTTAAGGGAAACTAAATATTTTCTCATCGTGCACATTTAATGTATTTCTCCTGTATAATTAAACCTCTGGGGTGTAGTTAAAAACACACAGATTCGGTCACATATGTCTCTAATTAGGTTTGAACAACTTTCAATCATTTTTTACTTAAGGCACTCCTTTAGCAACATTACTATCTTCTGTAAGTTTTAATCAAATCCCTTGAATTCATTGTCAATTTTTGTATTAGAACTTGAAAAGTAATATTTTTTAAGTTAGGGTTTGAAGAAATTGTTATAGCTTACCCAAAAAAATGAAGAAATATTTATATTTTTTTTATGATTTGTTAATTGTTAATCTCTAGCAGGTTATACCCCAATTTCCACTGCCAACACATGATGTTATCGTCCGATACTGGCCTCCACCAGAGTTTGATGTATTGATCCTCATGCTTAAGTGTAATTCTATCAGCAGTCTTGTACATTTCTCACTAGTTTTTGTTTTTATATGCAGCGCAATGTTGTTGCTTATGATGAAGACCAACCTCGTGATGAATTAGAGAAAGCTACTGTTATTCAAGATGCCATCTCTGATCTTCCTGCTGTACTGTTCTACATTTATTTGATTTTTTTATTATTTTTTATGTTTGGGCAGACTCCTCTAAAGCGAGTTTGTCTCTTAAGTGTAAAAGGGTACCCTTCATTTATCATAAGTGCTTCATGGTCTTAACTCACTTAGATTCTAATGTGGATACCCTTGCTCACTTTAGACACTTACTTTAGGTGAGCCTTTTTCTTAATATTTGCTAGTGTTCCATATGACTTTAAATTAACTCAATATTATAGGTCAAAAACACTGAAACGCGTGATGAAATGCCATATCGAAATCCTCCAGAAACAGAATTTCAAAGATATATTCGGTCAACTAAGTATGGTAATAGCACCTTCCTTCGAATAATAATTTTTTACTAATCATAAAATTATTTCTATGTGGTATGGTTTTTAACTGCAACATTTCTCTGTGCTAGTTGACTCTTCATTCATCTAGAGAATTAAAATATAAAAATTAAAGCTTGAAATTTATTTGTCTCAGATTCAAGTTATTAAGCGTAGTTGACTTCATCTCAATCACTAGTGTTTGTATGATTTCTTTGTAGGCATTTCATCTGCAAATCTTGTCAGTAGTTTTCTCTTTTTTAATTGTTCTCTTGTGAACTTTAGCTATAGGTCTTTGGACCAAACATCAACTCATCTTGTTTCCTTGTTATTCATTTTGAGTAGAGATGACTGGGACAACTTCAAATGGAACAACAGAGAAAAGGCCTTTATTGTATGATCACCGTCCCTACTTTTTGTTTGAAGATGACTACCTACGTGTTTGTCAAATTCCAAAACGCAAGGTTGTAGTCTAGATTAAGTTCATGTGTTACACTTTTGATTCATCCCTTTTTCACCCTTAATCTAATGTAATTGTAGGGTGCAAATTTCCGTGATCTGCCTGGCTTAATTGTAGGAGCTGACAATGTGGTTAGGCGGCATCCGGCCGAGAAACCAATTTTGCTACCATCTGGAAAGCCATTGGTGGGTCTTTCTGTTTCTGTACATAGAAAGATGTTTATATTCATTTTCATTTATTTGTCTGTATTTTACATACATGTGTCTATTGCTATATGATTAAAATGCTAATTAGTTTGACTGCTCCCCATCATCTCTAATGCTAAGACAATTTATATGACCACTGAATTAGCATTAATTTCTGCATTCCAAATCATATTTTAGACTTAAATAGTAATAAAATGTAAGTTAGTTGCTCATTATTAAGTGGGAAAAACAATAAGGAGACTACAAAATGTTATGCACCCTTTTATTCTTTCCTTTACCTTGGATATTGGCTTGCTATTTTTCAACATATTTGTCTTTGTTCATAAAAAAGCAAGTAGCTTATTGATCATCAACTTTATTTATTTTCTTATATCTCAATACATTAGTTCCACGTTCTTTAGTCAACTTTCAACTAAAGAACCTTAATAATAAAAAACAAATATAACTATTTGATCTTCAATGTTTGTATATCAGTATTGATGCTTTTGTAAGGAATTTTGAAAGAAGTGAAATGTATGAAGAGATTTGTGGCATCCATTATGTCATTATATTATACCAATCTTTATGAGCACTTCTTAAGAAAAATAAGATGTTAATAGATGGTTTATCCAAGCAGTTGAAGTTACAGGGTTTTCAATGAGAGGTTATCTGTTTAGGTTTCGTAATTCATTCTTAGAACTGCATGAGGTTCAATTAATCTTGCCTGTCTATTCTATGTGGTCTCAGGTCCCAGATTATTGCTTCACTTATGAGCAAGGGAAGTCTAAGAGGTGACTTTTTCAAATATAGTATATCTGGGGATTTTTGTTGCTTTACTAGTTTACTACATTTGAATGACTTTTAATCTGTATTTACCCATGTAGACCATTTGCACGGTTGTGGTGGGATGAGAATCTTCCTACTGCACTGACCTTCCCAAGTTGTCATAATCAGGTCTTACCCCGGTCTTTGATTTGTTATAGAAATCACACAAATTGATTTCTTATATATTTCAAAATATTGTAGGTTGTACTACATCCGGAGCAGGATCGAGTCCTCACTGTACGAGAATTTGCCAGACTGCAAGGATTTCCTGATTATTATAGATTCTATGGGACTGTAAAAGAGAGGTACAAAACCATTAAATAGTGAGGAGCATTGTCATAGGTTTATTAGATGCTGCATTTCACTTAATAGTGAGTTGAGAATCCATTTTTTCACATCACTCAAGGGATGTATGGTAATGGCAGGGATCAAAAGTTTTCATTTTCAAAAAGCAATGGTTACAGAGCTAAACATATTTTTGGTATAAAACCAAAATTTAGTGTGAATATGTCTGGATAAGTTTCTTCTAAAAACACTTATAGGAGAAAAATTAGAAAAGAAAATTGAAACAAACATCTTCATAAGCTAAAACAAACTTTTGCATAAAATAAAAATAAGATTTTGGAGAAGTTAATAGGAAATAGCTTTTACAAATTAGCTTTTTGTTTCATTTTTCTTTCCTATTTTTCTCTTCTACAAGTGTTTTTGGAGAAATTTATTCAAACAGACTCTATTTATAAGGATTAAAAATGTTTTTAAGCCTATAAAATAGTATGGATGCGTTTTAGAATCTGTTACTTTATTTGCATGAAGCAGTCTTTATTTTTGTAGTTTCCCTAGTAGCAGCCAGAGACTGAAAATAGTCTCCTATTTATTCCTGCATTTTACCAAGTATTCATGTTGTTAATTGGGCGGGTTCTTTCTTTTTTCTTGTGGTACTTTATAGGTACTGCCAAATTGGAAATGCAGTTGCTGTTCCTGTTGCACGAGCTTTAGGTTATGCCCTAGGACTTGCTTACAGAAAGCTCAGTGGAGATGAGCCACTTATGACCCTTCCACCTAAATTCTCTCACTCCACTTATCTTCAGTTATCTAATAATCAGCCTGGTGGCAACACTGACTAGCATTCATCCTATTATTTCCATTGATTTCACTAGAACCATTGTTTATATTTAATTGTTTCTGAGCAATTTTCCTTCATGTATCCGGTGAACTATTCTCAGCAACTCCCTTTTATTTATTTGCATACCTGCTTAGATAGTGAGTAAATACGTTTAAGATTTAATTTAAGAAGTCATCTTGAGAATTGCTTTCTTTCTAGGAGTTAGTGATTCTTTCATTATGTAATTCCATGCAAGTAGACAGGTGATGTGAGATTTGCACATCAATACCATTTTTCAATCTAATTGGGTGGAATGAAAATTTCAATTTACGTTGGAGGCTTTAATAATTTATCGTTCTTTTTTCTTGAACAATGCTGCTACCCATTGCATTGAATTATGACTAGTTTTCATGCCATTGCAAAGGGTACAAGGATTGCCATTTCACAATAGGGTATGTTTGGTTTAGGAAGTCAATTGAAAGGAAAGAAAGAGATAGGGAAAAAAGATGATTTTGAAGGTTTTTCAATACGAAAGAAAGTTAAAGTCTTAATTACGTTTTTTGTTTTTAAGGTACGGTAAATTGTGTGATTTTAAACCAGAGACCACTTTTGTCATACGAAAGTCTTCAATGCTTTAGAAGCATATTCATCTTAGAAGATCTCTCAACAAATTTTGCAAGATCTTTTTTAAATTGTACGTTTTTAGCTTATAATTATGTAACCTTAGGTAGTTCATTGATAGTAATCTCTTGTTTGAGAGTTCGAACCTCTCTAGTAGTGTTTGACAGATCTTTCATAAGTTTTTCATTTTCTTCTTGTAAGACTTTTTTACATTTTTCTTTAAACTTTTAATACATAAGGAAGATCATATGAGAATTTGCCAAAAGAGTTTCATAAGATATCTTCTCCTCATCAAAATTATTAAAAGGACATTAATCAAAGTCAAAAGTTACCTCTAATTCTATAAATGTTGGTTTTTTCATCATATGAACGGTTGCTATCTAGGTCTTCTCATGTAGTCATCATACTTTTCTTGACCTTCTTTTTACTGGTCCATCACTTTCTAAGTGTAGAACATTTAACCTTTACGTGCTTAGGCTTCTTATACTCATGGTAGATGAACTCCTTGTTTTCATCTTGCATAGACTTCTTGAACTTGTCCTTCTTTTTATAGAAGTTTTGTAATCTTCCTTTTTTCTTTAGTATGTTCTTAAACTTTTTTGGATATGAGAGAAATCTAGTTATCTATCGAGTTAGCAAAACTTTCATCTGAGTTACAAGACTCTAATTCAACCTTTAGAACTTTATCTTTTTCTTTTCTCTTGCTTGATTTACTAGTCCTTAAAGCAATAGAGTCATTTGCTTTGATATGATCTTTATTGATCAAATGAACTTTATGAATTATTAGAGCTCCTAAAAGTTTATCAAGAATGATAGTCTTGAAGTTGCGAGCTTCTAATATGACGATGACCTTTGATTCTAAAATCTTTGAAAGGTTTTACAAAAATATAAGATTGTTCTAAGTTTATATTTGTTAATTAAATAAACATGTATTTTAAAGATGACAAAATTGAATAGAGAAAAAATTTAAATTTTGCTTATATTTGAGTTTTGAAACCAACATATATATGATATTTTCTTTTTTGCTTATATTCAAAATCGGAATAAATATTAAGATACTTTCAATTACTTTTAAGTAAAGAAAAGTGTAATTTTCACCAAAAAAAAAAAAAAAAAGAAGAAGAAGAAAAAAAAAATATGTTTAACGAATTGAATTACACATCAATTTATAGGGTCGAATTAATGAAAATAGATTAATATAAAATGTATAAGATCTTTTGTTCGAATCTGGGTATAATCATAAAAGGATCACAAACAGCGAAGCATATATATTAAATTTTTTTATTTATAAGATTTGATACTATAAGGTTTACAACAATTATCGTGATTAACCAACATGCTACCGAGTTATATACATCCAAATAATAAACCCCCGGTTAGGGTTTAAGCACATTCCGGGAAAAAATGGCGACAAGGTACACGACTCTGAGAATCTCAACCAAAACCCTTTTCCAACACTTTCAATCTCGCACTGCGCTTCATTCAATCAGAACCTTCCATTCCCATTCCTATGTTGCCCCTGGCTCCGACCCTCGTCAATTTCGTAACCCTTATTCTGGAACATTCCGAGGCATGGTCTCTGCCCCAGACCTCAGTCTCCACGAAGCTGCTTCGCTTGCCCTCGATAATCGCGTTCCCGCCACCGTCATAACTGGCTTTCTTGGCTCTGGAAAGGTAAGGGCCTGTTTGGTTTATGACGACGAAATTATAAATTAAAAAAATTTGAAACATTTCTTACTCTATTTTATGTTTTCTTTTCATCGATTGAATGTGTTATAACTGAGTTTTGGGTAATGCAGACTACTCTCCTTAATCATATTCTCACATCCCAACATGGAAAGCGGATAGCGGTCATTGAAAATGAGGTATCGAGTTTGATCTGTATTTGTGTGAAGTTCCATGTAATTTGATGATGGCCTTGTTATGTTTAATTGAAAATTTCTTAATTTCAGTAATTTCGTCTTATTTTAAGAGTTTTGATAAATATTTTGGTCCATGTATCACTGCGGCATTACAAAATGTGCGGCTTTTTCCAATGATATTGTTCCGAGTGTTATTTATTTGGAGCAGTTAAGCGAAGAATGTGAGTGCTTGGAGTGTTTTAGTGGATTTTCCCTTGTGATAATATGGGCTTATAGTTATTTGTGAAATTGTCTATTTGGTGTAAATGCAGTTTGGTGAGGTTGATATTGATGGGTCACTGGTTGCTAGTCATTCTTCTGCGAGTGAAGAAATCATCATGGTTAACAATGGCTGCCTCTGCTGTACTGTACGAGGAGATCTGGTTAAAATGCTGTTGGAGCTGGTTAAGAAAAAGCGAGACAAGTTTGATCATATTGTTATTGAAACTACAGGTTTGTAAATTGTTCATGTAGTTAAAGGAACTTATGTAGTGGGGTGGGATTGAGGTGGTGGAGGTTGGATATTTAATGGCAAGTTGAAACTAAACGGATCAAGTTGTTAAGTTTGTTTTATTCTTGTGGGATCTGAAATTCATTGTGTTTGGGACTTTTGGATCACGTGTTGAAGAAAAAGTGAAAATAAATGAGTAACTGAAATGAAAGTATTCATCCATCTGGTGTATGAAACAGTTGACTGGAGAATTTATTTTTCATTTTGCAGGCCTTGCAAAACCAGCTCCTGTTATTGAAACATTTTGCAGTGATGAGCTGGTCTCACAGCATGTGAAGCTGGATGGAGTTGTGACTTTGGTTGACTGCAAGCATGCCATGAAACATTTAAATGAAGTGAAACCAAGATTTGTGGTTAACGAGGCAGTAGAACAAGTTGCATATGCTGATCGTATTATTTTAAACAAGGTATGCTTCTGCCTTTAAGATTCTCTGATAGTATATCTGTGTGCTCTTCAACTTTCTTTTGTTCCGATATTGTTTACTAAAATATGTGTTAGTATGTGTTTCTAGATTCTGATTATTTTTACTTGCTTTTGCAGATAGATTTGGTTACTGAATCTGAGTTAAATATATTGACCAAGAAAATTAAGGTACGTTTCTGTTAATTGATGGTTCTCTACACATTGTATTTCTTAGTTGAACTAGGATGGTAACAAAGTTCTATGTAGCAACTAGCCAGTAAAAAGATTATGTGGATTAGCATCAAACTAGGTTGATGAAATGAACATATGCACGTGAGTTTCTGTACAAATTTCATAGAGTTCATTATGCCCTAGGGTGACTCCATATTTTATGATTATATTTCTAATTGGTTTAATACATCATTTGGTTCTTGAACCTTTTGAGGATTTTTAATTAGGTTCCTAAACTAAAACAATTATAATTAGGTCTTTCATCTTTTTATATTTTTCTAATTTAGTTCATGTGATTAGAAATTTGCTTACAATTTGTGAAATTTCACAAAATATTCTTTATATCTTTATACCTAGACAACTACATTAGATAACTATCTCACGTCATCATCCATGTGTATCAAATTTTAATTTTAATTCCTACTTGTAAAAATTCCCTTGTAATTTCCCTAATCATAAGAATTTTTGGAATAGTAGGGGATTTTTAATCCATACCTGTTAAAATTAGATCGCAATTCTAACTCATCTTCCATGTGGTTGTCTAGGAATGAAGATATAAAGAATATTTTGTTAAATTTCACAGATTTAAGCAAATTTCTAACCTTGGACTAAATTACAAAAATATAAAAAGATAAAGGACCTAATTACCAAGTTTTAGTTTAGGGACTTAATTGAAAATTATCAAGAAGATAAATGAGCAAATGATATACTAAACTTTTCTACTTTTAATTGGTGTATTATGGATATTGGGGGGGGGGGGGGGGGGGG